CCTCTCGCTCTCCTCAGAGGTGCTCCCCGCCACCATGTTTGTCCTGGTGGAGATGACGGACACCGTAAGAATTCCTCCCTGGCAGTTTGAAAGGAAACTGAATGAATCCATTGCGGAAGAGCTAAACAAGAAGTTGGCCAATAAGGTAAAGCGTGGGTCACGTATAGGTTGATGCAGGCGCCCTAACGTCCCTGAGTGTTTCTTCCTTTCATTTGTTCCCAACGAGATTGTGTGGGTGAGGTGGCAAAATGGTGTAGATGTCCACATCTACAACCCCTGAGACTGAGATACCGGGAGCTGTAAGCAGAGACAGATGTTCATCATCTCAAAGGGGACTTTTTTCTCAGGGCTAATTCTGTAGTGGGAAGATCCTGAGGCACTGGCTGGGATAGAGAAGCATGGAAGAGAAGTGGGGAACTGCTGGCTTGTGCACAGAGTAGCAGTTTGGAAAGCAGTTGGAAAAATAGATGCAAATGAATTCCATCCAGTGAGGGAGCCTTAAAAAAGGTGATGTAAACAAATGCAGAGCAGCGACACTAGAAAAGGAACGAAGGTGTTAGTAGCCGACCTGGTCTGCGCTCAGTACTTAAAATACAGCGTGGCAGTAAGAAGTTGGTGTTTGGTGCAGAATCTAAACCAGTGTTTTGCCTAACCCAGGAGGTCAGTGTCCCCGTGCAGGCCCTGGGGCTGTGACTGGCAGTACGGCTTTCAGCACCAGGCAGGTGCAAAACTCAGAATGCGGCCTGTGAACGGAGCCTAAAGAGCAACCTGAAGCGATCAAGGGTTGTGAACAGCAGAATATACAGACGGGTTACGAAAGGCAAAACTCTTCCCTCATCCACTAATGACTAGTAGGTGCGTCAAATTTTGCAGGCTGTGAAGCTGTCTCAGAAGTAGCAGAGAAACCAAGAGTCCTCCTCGCCTCTTCCCAGAGCTAATACATTTTAAGAGAAAGGCAAGCCTAGAGGCTTCCGAGAGTGTACCTAGGCTAAAGTTTGTTTAGCCCTTGGACAGGCTGTGGGGCTGGTGAATGATGTCTGTGGCAACTGTTTACTATCTTGGCAGGTCAAGTTCTCTCACCGTTGATAATTACCCCAAGGGTTTCTGTTTGCAGCGGTGCCAGAGAAAACATCCTCTCGTAACTAGAATAACTTAGGGGATCCTCTGCAGTGCAGTGTGGTTAGGGATGGGGCTGTTGAAGGAAGTGTACCAAAACAGCCTCCCTCCCACCTTGTCACCCTTCTGTTGCTTTCTTTTGAAAAGGCGTGCCTAGTGCCTTTGCTTGATTTAACCTGGGGAGTTGCTTGATTTATTGCTTTTTTAATTACATTTTCCTTTGAGCAGGTTGTATACAACGTCGGCCTCTGCATCTGTCTGTATGATATCACGAAGCTGGAAGACTCGTACATATTCCCAGGAGATGGTGCGTCACATACCAAAGGTACGTGTTTGGCCGCAGTGATATAGATGTGCAGAACGTTAGTGATTTGGAAATGCGGACTGTGTTCAGTTGTTAGGGAAAGTAAGTTTAAAGGAACTTACTGAAGATGCTCAGAGGGCTGGAGCACCTCTGCTATAGGGACAGGCTGAGAGAGTTGGGCTTGTTCAGCCTGGAGAAGAGAAGGCTCCGGGGAGACCTTACAGCACCTTCCAGTGCCTGAAGGGGCTACCAGGAAGCTGGGGGGGACTTTTTACAAGGGCCTGTAGTGACCGGACAAGGGGGAACGGGGTTAAATTGAAAGTGGGGAGATTTAGATTGGATATCAGGAAGAAATTCTTCCCAGAGAGGGTGGTGAGGCGCTGGCACAGGTTGCCCAGAGAAGCTGTGGATGCCCCATCCCTGGAAGTGTTCAAGGCCAGGCTGGATGAGGCTCTGAGCAACCTGGTGTAGTGGAAGGTGTCCCTGCCCATGGCAGGGGGGTTGGAACTGGGTGGTCTTTGAGGTCCCTTCCCACCCAAACCATCCTGTGATTCCATGATTCATAGCCTTAAGTGTGTTCCTGTTAGGAGGGCGAGAGGAACATGGCAAAAGTTGCTTCTTCTCCTTGCATTTTTGGGTGCAAATACAGCCTTCTGTAGCCAGTCCTGTTTGCCTTCTCCAGCAGTCCAGCTCTGCTCTACAAATAGAGCCATAGGTGAGGGGTAAACTTAATTTGAAATGATTGGAAATCTGCACATCGAAAATAAGCTGTATAAATTGCTCTGCATTTCTCCAGTATTTTTTTTTGAAGCTTATTTTCCCCAGTTGGAACGTGTTTCTACGTGTAACACTTGCATGGCGCTTGATGCTGGTTTTCCTCGCTGAAAGTTTTGCTGTATTTTTGGTTGAGACTTGGACAGATCTGGTTCAGCACACATTTCTAGTGACTCTTTTTTATAATAAGAAATGACAAATTTATTTACTTTGACTTTTGGCAAATCTGTCCAAGTAAAAACTGGAAGGAAATGTGTAAAATCGGATTTCGTTGATTTTTTCAAGTTAGTTTCTTGAAACTGGAAAGAGATGCGTTTTTCTCATTTCCATTTTCAACGTGGAAGCGCAACTTGAGCAAATGAAACGTCTCCTGTCAGAAGGGAGCTGGACAGACTATGTGGCTGCCATAGCCTAAATTTTAACTCCAGTAAAACTCATTCCCTGCAGATAAAAGCTTCTCTAATACTGAAGGAGGATGCCAGGCTTTTCTCCTTGCTTTCGTCTCCACTTCTGAACTTTGACTTACTCCTTGAACTGAAACAAGAGAATATATTCTCTCTTGGCTTGGAAAAACGTCTGCTGTCAGAATCTGGGGTGGCACTTTGCTAAACCCTGCCATGTCTGGTAACAACTCTTGCTTTAACGCACCACTTGACTCGTGTGACAGGGGAGCGCTGAGGATGGACAGCTCGTACCATCCTTGGGCTAAGATTGTCTTGAGTATGACATCCTTGGGATTGTAAGTGCAAAATGCTTGGGTTAACCTGGGTGAAAAATCCAGCTAAGAGAATATTACTTACTCTGATAATATGTGGTGTCAGATATTTCATTTAAAGAAAATGCAGCATTGCCAACGAAGGTAAGAGGAGCAGAAATGTGATGAGAAAGTATAATTTCAAGTGATTCTCTTGGCCTTGAAGCATTGTGCAGGAAAAGACACTCCACTCCGTGTTCTTCACCTACAGTTTCGTTCTGTGAAGTTAAACCCTTGCGAGGGTGAAGAGCAGAGAACGGGTCACTGCTGACCCACTGCTGTCAGAATTGGTACAACACACTTGGGAATCAGAACTCTTATTCCTCTTTTTCTATCTGTAAGGATATTGTAAAAGAACCTGGGTAAGCATTTTAGGGGGCGTGTAGGATGTGGGGTTTTGTTTTAATGGCTGCCTTTACTCCCTGTGGCAGGAGCGTAGGTCACAAACACAGACATAACGTTAATGATCTGTTTTCTCTAGTGCATTTCCGCTACGTGGTCTTCCATCCCTTCCTGGATGAGATTCTGATTGGACAGATTAAAAGCTGCAGTCAGGATGGCGTGCACGGTAAGCCGCGACGTCTCGCGTCAGGGACACGCGAGCGGCAGAGCTCCCGGGTCTCCTGAGGCGCCGTGATTTCAGGTTGTACAGTGCCGGGGGGGTGGGCTGGTTAAAGACTTGCCGGCCTCTGGCCTGAGGGTGGTCGGGATCTGAGCCTGGCACCTTCCCCTGCCCTTGATGGTTGTGTCTTACTCCCCTTGCCTTCTGTCATCCGTGTGCGTGCCGGAGAGGAGCAGGCAAGCCCATCCGGAGCGTAGACTGCGTTCGTTTTCTGGCTTCGGCTAACGCAGCTTGCTGGTCTTTAAGCGGCAGCATGGGCTGGTGCTGGTCTGACGTACCGCCCTGACCGTTCGGTGCAAATTCACGATCCTCTCCCACACCTGAAAGCATGGCAGGAAACGACCTCGTGAGCGCAGAGTGCCGTCGGATTCATGGAACACGGAACTGATGAGTTGCTTTCCTTGTAGCAGCCTGCCGTGAAGCGAGCTCCTCCACTCAGTTGTTCAGTCAGAGCAATAATAAGGTTATCTTGGGTGTGTTTGTTGCTGGATTTGGCCACATCTGCTCTCTGATAAAATTCAACCTCACGGAAGCTCAAGGGGGAGGGAAGGCTGTTGTAACTTTACAGTGGTCTTTATTTAACGTGTTACATCTGTGATTTCTAAGCCCTTTTCTCTCACAGACCTCTATAGCATCTGACTCATTTCTTGGAACGCTTTCATTTCCAGTCCTGCTCCAAACAGCCTTTTCCTTTCCCAGCGGGCACGAAGACTGTGCCCTCTGTTGCTGCCTGGACTTTCAGCTGGGGGGTTGCTTTGCTGCCAAGTGAAGTTGAGCGTTGTGGCTCAAAGAATCGTTCCTGCCTGATCTCCGATGTCCTTCCTGAAAGAGGAAGGAGAATGGGTCTGAAAATGCACGTTAGGAATCGCTGTGGTACATCATTTGCAAAGAACTCGTTTCAATCTCAATCAAATTCTTTCCCCCACAGTTTCTATCGGATTCTTTGATGATATTGTCATCCCCCCCGAATCCCTGCAGCAGCCAGCGAAGTTGTATCCTTTGATCACCTTCGATCACTTCACTGCTTCGTTTCAAAGGATTGTGCAGTGCTGGCCCAGCAGGCATCCGCTGCCGCAGCAGAGAAGGGGCTCGGGGCAGCAGCTGAGCCGTCGTGTCGGGCCAGTCCCGCAGACCGTTATCGCAGCTAGACAGGCCTCGCCGGGTTTTGCAGGGCCATTGTGCCCGCCGATGGAGATGAATGGCAGGGCCCCCTGGACGACCGCGCCGTAA